AGCAGCAGTTTGTATCAAAACTTCTACATGCATTCATTTTTTTATGTTAACTGTTAAATAACTGAAATTTGGTCTATAACTCAGATATAAACATATATTTTTAAATATTCCTGTGGCTGAAGTTTACAAAAGAGGTTTGCACATATGTGCAAAAGTCCAAGTTAATAAAAACATCTAAATAATTTTATCTTCCAAAAAATTTCAAAAAATATTTTAAAAAAATATTTAATTAATCGATTTCTCATGCTATATGCAAGAAAAATAACTTGTCTTTCTCTACGAGAATGGAGAAGTCCTTTCAAAAGCAGTTTTAAAACCATAACACTCATACAAATGTCTCCATTCTAGCACTGTATATGGACGTTGATTGTCCATATAAGACAAAGGAAAGTTTTGTAAAATCAATTTAAATCACATTTAATTCCTGACACTATTTCATTATTGCAGAAATAGTTAATAGCATTTTCAGCAACTATGACTAGAGATTCTAATTTTCAATAATTGAAAACCACTGCAGTTCCACAGAAGTCCACTAAGAAAGAGATATTTGCCCCTCCAAGTCAGGCCATTGTAAATTTCCTTCCCTGGATGTGTTGCTTTCTTCTTTCTAGTCTAATAATCATATTCCTCTCCTGAGAAAATTTAAAATTGAGAGTATTCTGCATCTTCTTTTTCTGTAGCAGATTGTTATTCTCTACCAAACACACAGATTCACACATAGACACAAAGTCATAGGCATATATGCTTCCAGATAGCACAGACTGTCTGATCTGTAGCTCTTCAGAGACTATGCTAAAATTGTATATAAACACAGCACCATTTTTTTACTAGATGATGTTTCACGGTAGCATATACCTTAGAATTTTCCTTGCTATATATATATATATAGGAAAATTACTTGATATTATTCAATTCTATGATTCTACATAAATAAACTACTATAGTGCTTCATCATAGAATCATAGAATCATACTATCATAGAATCATAGAATGGACTGGTTCAAAGGGACCACAGTGATCATCTGGTTTCAGCCCTCCTGAAACAGGCAGGGTTGTCAACCATTAGACCAGGCTGTCCAGAGCCACATCCAGCCTGGCCTTGAATTCCTCCAGGGATGGGGCATCCACAACCTCCTTGGGCAATCTGTTCCACTGTGTCACCAACCCTCGGGGTGAAGAATTTCCTCCTAATATCTAAACTAAATCTTCCCTGTCTCAGTTTAAAACCATTCCCCCTTCTCCTGTCACCATCAATCCATGTAAACAGTCATTTCCCCTCCTGTTGATACGCGCGCTTCAAGTACTGGAAAGCCACAATGATGTCTCCCCAGAGCCTTCTCTTCTCCAAATGGGCCCAGTTCCCTCAACCTTTCTTCATAGGACAGGTGCTCCAGACCACTGATCATCTTAGTGGCCCTCCTTTGGACTCATTCCAGGAGCACTGCATCTTTCTTGTGCTAGGAACCCCAGGCCTGGATGCATGGGGTCTCACAAGAGCCAAGTAGAGAGGGACAATCACCTCCCTTTTCCTGTTAGCCAGCCCCTTTTTAATGCAACCCTGGATATATTTGGCCTTCTGGGCTGCAAATGCACACTGCTGACTCATGTCCAGCTTCTCATTCACCAGGACTCCCAAGTCCTTCTCCGCAGGGCTACTCTCAAGGACTTCTTCCCTCCGTCTGTACAAATACCTGGGATTGCCCTGGACCAATTACAATACCTTGCCCTTGGACTAGCTGAACCTCAGTAGGTTCTCTTGGGCCCACTTCTCCAGCCTGTCCAGGTCCCTCTGGAGGGCTTCCCTTCCCTCCAGTGTATCAACTGCATTGTTCAGCTTGGTGTTGTCTGCAAACTTGCTGAGAGTGCACTTGATGCCATCGTCTATGTCACTGATAAAAATGTTGAAAAGCACTGGTCCTAAGACCAAACCCTGAGGGATACCGCTTGTGACCAGCCTCCACTCTGACACAGAATCATTGATCACAATCCTTTGGCTGTGACCAGCCAACCAGTTATTTATCTATTGAACAATCCATCTTTCAAACCCATACCTCCCCAATTTAGAGAGAAGGATATCGTGAGGGACCATGTCAAAAGTTTTGCAGAAGTACAGGTAGATGGCATCCATCACCCTTCCCCTCTCCACCAATGCTGTCATTCACAGAATCACAGAATCACAGAATTATAGGGGTTGGAAGGGACCTCCAGAGAAAATCGAGTCCAACCCCCCTGCCAAAGCAAGTTCTCTACACCAGGTCACACAAGTAGGTGTCCAGGCAGGTTTTGAATACCTCCAGAGAAGGAGAATCCACAACCTCCCTGGGCATAGACTACATCCACTGCTCTCCCCCCATCCACCCAGCCAGTGACAATATCATGGAAGGCTACCAGATTGATCAAGCATGACTCCCCCTGGTGAACTCATGCTGACTACTCTTGATAACATCCATTTCTTCCAGTTGTCTGAAAATGGCATCCAGTCCATCATAGAAGGCCACCAGATTGGTCAGAAAAGATCTGCCCTTAGTGAAGACATGCTGGCTTGTCTTGGATCAACTCTTTGTATCATCTATACCTTAACATAACTTCTAGGAGGATCTGTTCCATCATCTCCCCCTCGCACATAGGTGAGGCTCAACATTCTGTAGTTCCCCAGATCATCCTTTCTCCCTTTCTTAAAAATGGGAGCAATGTTTCCTTTTTTCTAGTCACTGGGGACTTCACCAGGCAGCCATGATTTTTCAAAAATGATGGAGAGCAGCTTGGCAATGACATCATCCACCTCTCTCAGAACACTTGGATATATATCTGTCCCCCTGGGCTTATACACATTCAGTTTCATGAGGAGGTCTGTTACAGTGGGATGGATTCCACTCCTCTCACTCACACTAAGAGGTTCAGGGTCATGGCAGACATGGGGAGCCTTACCATCAGTGAAGATAAAGGCAAAGCACTTATTTTCTAACACTGTCTTCAATACAAGTAATCATAAGTTGTCTATGCATAATGGAAATTGGCAAACTTTGGGTTTTTTCATTATTTCCACTACTCTTTTTTTTTTTTTTTTTTTTTTTTCCTTTATTAGAAATATCTCTTTGTAGCAACATTGTCTACAAATAATAGTGTGTAATGAAAAGATGTTGAGAGAGTCTTGGCTGCATTGTATGGTATCCGTCTTACAGATCAACCTGCATTAATCAAGGTCAAACCAGATGTGTATTGATCTAAAGTTTATGAAACAAAGAAATTAAGACTATAGCTTTTCATAAGGAGCATAAACATAAAAACTCATGTTGAACACATACTTGCAGAACTACCCAGGTTGTATTTTATAATCTTCCAAAATTCTACTTCAGCATGCAATGACTTCATAATGAAAGCTTACATAACTTTATCTGAAAAAGCTACTTTTCTGACATTCTCCAGGAAGGATGTATTCAGACCAGGACTCGGATCACACAGTCGGAAAAGATGCATATAGATAAACTCATCACTGAATATTTTCTTCTTTCTCATACATCTGATTGCTTTTAATCTTTTCAAAACACTAACATGCTGGTGCAGCGGGGGCATTGACAGGACAACAGCTCTGCATCCATCCCCTTGACTAGAAAAAGCTTCTGGGAAGGTAGCAATGGTCTCTGCCCATGGGAGACAGACAGGAGGAGTCCAGGTGTGAGAATCACCTGGGCTGTTTTAACAAAGAGAAACTGTAAGCCACCCATATATGGGACTACAAAGCAAGGACTGTTATCACTGTCAAGTGAGTGATAAGTGTGGGGGCTCCTGTTAACGACCCAGCAACAGGGGAAGGGCAGAACCAGCACTACTGGCATCAGGGTGGGGCTGATCAGTCACACCCCATTAAGGCCTATCTAGTAGTGTTAGTGTGCCTGCTGGTTTGCAATGGCTGCACCCCGGCGGTAGGCTAGTGCCACAAAAATTGTGGAGACCCAGACTGAGGTCCCACGCAGGCATGAAAGGATAGCTAGCTAATGCTAAGAAAAGTGTGGAGACTCAGACTGAGGCCCCAACACAAGATGCTAGTACACTGGCCATCATGAATGCCAGAGCCTGGCCTTTGCAGTGCCAGGCAATGGAGGCGCCACTTGTATAATATGTGACCAGCTAAATGACTTACTCGGCCTTGTGGTTGACCTGATGGAGGAGGTGGAAAGGCTGGGGACCATAAAGGAATGTGAGGGAGAGATTGCTTGGTGGTGCCAGTCCCTATCAGCCCTGAGAACACAGCTGAGGCTCCGTGTGGAGCACATCACTTCCTGCTGCCTTGCAAACAGGTGGGAGACAGGAACTGGCAGGTGGGAGAGGGGAACCAGCAGGCAGACAGTGCTGCAGTGAGCCCCCCTGTCCTCTTCTCCCCCTAGAAACAATTTGAGAAAGGAGGAGGAGTGGAAATGGATACCAGCTCGGTGAAGTGGGCATCCCCATCCTGACCATACTCATCTCCCCAGGTACCTCTGTGCAATAGGTTTGAGGCCCTCATAAGTCGTTATAAGCGACTGCCTGCTGAGAGGAACAGAAGGTCCTATATGTCTGCCTGACCTTACCTGTAGGGAGGTGTGCTGCCTCACTGGGTCATAGGTCAGGGACATTTCTAGGAAATTTCCTGGACTGATTCACCCTTCTGATTATTACCACTTATTACCATGATGTGCTTGGAAAGTTACAACCTTGTTGCTATCATGGAAACATGGTGAGATGACTCCCATGACTGGACTACCATCACTGAGGGATATCAACTCTTTAGAAGGACTAGGTGAGGTAGGAAGGGTGAGTTGCCCTCTGTGTCAAAGAGTGGATAGACTGTGAGGAGCTCCCTCTGAGAAACAATCAGAAACAGGCTGAGAGCCTATGGGTTAGAATTAGGGATGGGACTAACAAAGAACAGCAGGTGATAGGTGCATACTAGAGACCACCTGATCAAGGGGAGACTGTTGATGAGGCTTCCTTGCTTCAGATGCAGGAGGCATCATGCTCACCGGCTGTCGTCCTGGTGGGAAACTTCAACCATCCGATATCTGTTGGAAAGACCACATGGTGAACTGCAAGAGGTCCAGGAGGCTCCTGGAATCCATTGATGATAACTTTCTTGTCCTGAAAGATGAGAAGGGCCCCATAAGTGAAAGTAAAAAGGCAAGAAATCTTCACAGTGACTGAGAATAAGGGGGGTGAAGGGGAATAGTCAGAGATAGTTTATAGAAGCAAGAATATAGAGCTTGTTAGAAAATAAGAGATGGCAGACACTGGGTCTGGGATAGTGAGGGGGATGAAGGCCATAAAGATAAGGGTTTGAGAACAGCCCAAGGACATTTGGCAAGGAGGTGATTAGATGTCCACAGGGCAAGAAGAAACTGGTCTGGGGGAATGCCCCCCCGAAAGATCAGAAGTTTGCAACAAGAAAGGTCAGAAGCCTTTGCGAGGAAAACAACAAATCTTCATCCCACAACCCACTACACATGCACAAGAGGAGAGGGTCTGCATGCTAATGAACTCTTGGGGGTGTAATGAATATGTATCTGAATTCTAGGAAAACTATTGATTATGTATTAGTTTGGCCTATATCTGTAGAATGATTTTTCCTGATGGTGTGCAAGTGAGGTGGATCTATCCCCCTTGCACCCAGCATACGAGCAAGTAAGTCCAGGTATTGGACAGACCGACCAGAGTTGAAGCACTGTTGGACCTGCTGCCCACCAATGCGGAGGAGATCATTAGAGGCGTTAAGGCTGGAGATAGCCTGGGTTGCAGTGACCGTGCCCTGATCAATTTCGTGATCTCAAGGGATGTGGGCCTGGCAAAGAGTGGCGTCTGAACTTTGGAAGAGCGAACTTTAAGCTGTTCAATGGACTCTTGGCCAAGATCCTCTGGGATGCTATCTTTAGAAACAAAGATGTTGAGGAGAGCTGACTACTCTTCAAGGATGCCTTCCTGAGAGTGCAAGAACTCTCCATCCCTCTGAATAAGAAAGCTTGAAAGGTGGGCCCGGGTGAACCTGATGAGGTTCAACACAGCAAAGTGCAGAGTTTTGCACTTGGGCTGGAGGAATCCCAGGGATCCATACAGACTGGAAGGAGTGGTCCTTGAGAGCAGAGAAGGACCTGGGGGTCCTGATGGATGAAAAGCTTAACATGAGCCAGCTCTTGCAGCTCGGAAAGCAAATGGTATCCTGGGCTCCATCAGAAGAGGGGTGGCCAGCAGGGATGGGGAAGTGATTGTCCCCCTCTACTTGCTCTTGTGAGGCAAAGACCGAGAACTGTTGGTCCAGAGGAGACCCACAAAGCTGATCAGGGGGCTGGAGCACCTTCCCTAAGAAGACAGGTTGAGTGTCATGGTTTTATGTTTTTTGGTTTTCAGTATTCCATATCAAAACATCATGTAACATACTGGAATTAAACTGTTAATGCTCCAATTCCAGGTACCTATCCCTGTACATTACGGAAGTCATGGGATCTGGCCCTTCTGGGTGGGGTGGTCTCTTACTGCCTGGCAGTGGGTGCTGGAGGTGCTTTCCTAGCCGTTCCAAGCTTTTTCAGGTTTGACTTGGTCTCAGGAACTCTCTCTCTCCTATCTTATTTGATTTATTAGTCTCAATTTCAATTAGATTGTATAATATTATGTTATCTTGCATTCCGATATCATAGTTAGTAAAATAAGTTTTCCTCCATAGATTGTTGCCGCTGTTTTT